CAGGAGGGGGGTGGAAGGAGTTCTAGAGAGCAGATTGCTGGCTCCCGTTATGGAAGGAAGCTTAATAAAATTCATAGAAATATTGGTGGTTCTGTGCCAAGAATGTGTTAGAATAAAACCTTCTGAGCAGAAGGGAAGGATATAATGTCATCTCAGCCTTGATATGAAAGATCAGCCTTCGTCTCGTAAAGCGTACCTCACCGAGCAGTAGCTAACACGTTGACTTGCCTTCCCCTCAGAGCAGGTCTCTGCGCAGCCTTGCTCGCACGGTTCACCGCTGTCACAGCCTCGTACGATGGTACCGGGATGACCCTGGCTTGCAACGAAGCGATAAGATAAAAGAATAAAGAGGGAGGTTTTTTTTTTTTTTTTCACTTTTTAATGACATCCCAGCACAACACAGACCAGCTCGGTGTCCTCCATGGGAAAGCTGTATCAAGTCTGGATTTCTCTAAAAAGACCAACCCCACCCTGAGCCCACGAGCTGATGCATCTGGCCATACCATGGCGCTCCCTTCACCCCCTCTTTCCTAACCCACCATGCCAAAGCAAAGGCCTCGCGTTGTGCCACACCAGCAAAGTGAGCAGCGAGCAGAGAGCCGCAGTCGGGAGGGAGCAGATCTCGCTTTCCAATCCCGCTCCCTTTCCCCTCAAGCTTGCTCTGCCAGTAACAGGAGGAGGGAGAGGGAAGCTCTCACACTCAGTTCTCAAGGCTTATTTTGGGAACTGAGCAGCCAGACCCTCGGGACCAGAGCTAGCTCTCTGCATGGTACTGATGCTCTTTCAAGGCTTTCTTTAGTCTCCTGAAATGCCCTTCAAACCTTGCCCTGAACTTGTAGGCTTACAAAGTCAACCACAACTAGGAAAAGTGAGCGGCATGTGCATGCCTGCCCCCTTCCCCAGATGCTGATGTGCACGTAGCTTGAAGCTGGTAGCTTGGCTTTGTGAGGGTCTGCGTGTCCATAGCTGCACCCAAACGCGGCTGCTGCACCCTAGTAGATACGCAGCCCCTCTGCAGCCCTTGGTTACGGCCAATAACCCACCTCTGATCTGCAACCTAAAACCCTAGAAACCATTTTTAATCCTAGAAACAGGCTTCTCCGTCCTTCTCCCTCAGCACTTCAAGGCAGGCAGCAATCCCAGTGGAGCCAGCACCATTCAAACCAGGCCCCAACTCTGACAAATGGTTTGCCCGTGTGGACTCTCTCATCCTAATCAATTTGTTGCGTCAAATCCGTTTTAGCTTGGAAAGTAAAACAAAAACCTGCTCTGCCAGCATACCCACTCCCTGCGAGCAGAGAACGGAGCCAAGCCTTTGTTTCCCATCACCAGCCCTGACTTTTGCTCATCCCTGGGAGACGAGCACAGACACAATTCAGCTCCCCAGGATACGATGGGCTTCGCCAGGCTGCCCACAGCAAGAGAGAGAAAAACTGGTGTCACCACGCACAGACGAGTCTGCCAGCAGGCACCGACTGCAAGCTGTCATGTGGGAAGGTGCCATCCCCGCAGCTTGACCACGACTACCAACGTGAACAGCTCAATCCTCTTAAAGAGGCTCATCCTTTCCTCCCGGGTCTCACAGCACAATGATTCTCCCTGTAAGCACTGTTTATTGAGTCCCAAAAGCCTGATTAGTGCTTGAACTTTTCCAAGCCCAGTCCCTCCCTTCGGCAGCATTAGTCATTCAGATGCTATTAGTATCCCCTCCCCGAAAATTGCACGTTCCTACATGGAGCCACAGGGACGGGCTTGGATCCTCGCTCCCTGAATGCCAGTCACGCTCTGAAGGACACAGGGGCTGCACACAGGCTGCCCAGTTATTGCCCCAGGGGCTGTCGCAGCCACCCAGACACACAAGAAGGCAACTGAGAAAACAAGCATCTGTGTCCTCAAAGGAGAGGGGAAGGACTGCCCGGGCACTCCAGCAGAGGTTTTGGAGAAAACACACCCCTCCGGGCTCTGTGAGCACACGGAACAAGTCGGAGTAGTGAAGCACGGAGGCTGAGAAGTCTCCATTCTCCATTTAATGGAGTCAGCAATGACAGAGGCACAGGGTGAGAAGAGGGAGGGACAACTTACCTGTCAGGGGCTACCCAGAGCCACTTTCCCAGATACATCACCTCCCTGACCAAGCCCATGCCGTGGAGCCGCTAATGAAACGGTAACCTTGGGAGAAAGGAGCGAGTAAAATCCAGCCGGTGCTTTACACCCATGTTCTGGCAGGACTGCACAACTGTGTCACCGGGGAGGGGAGAGCAGAGTCACACTTGCCTCACTGCCTGGAAGCCAGGGAGGGCAGAGCCAGCCCTCGGCCCGGTGAGGAAGGACAAGCTGAAGTCCCCGAGTCCTTTCAGAAGTAAGGTCAGCCGGCGACACAGAGGCCACAGCAGGAACAGATATAGTGAAATATACTGTTTTATTGCTGCACACATGCGTACACATTTCTTCCTAAATATATTGTCGCTCTGATAAATTTTACAATCTTCTTAATTCAACAAGTGGCTAGTAGTAAATGAAAAGGACAGCAGCAACAGAACACAGCAAGGACAGAAGAAAACTCAGGTTTTCATTTTGTGAACAAATTATTTGCAGCAAGAATGAACTGAAATCAAATCTAAGTTTTGACCTGTCTCGTCTTAATTAGAGAGCGCTTGCCTGCATGCTGACCATCTGCTTACACATGCTTTTTGATAGCCCTGTTTGGCCAAGAGGGAGGGGGGTGGTTAAAGGACCCCGAGTAACTGGACAAGCTGACGGGGCTCACAGATGTGATAACTAAGTGCACGCAGGCACGCGAGGGGTTTGCTTGGCAGCCCATGTGGAACTGTGCTGCTGGGGAGGCCGATCCAAAGGCCACACTGACCTTTCCTCCCACGTGTACAACTGCAGCCTCACTTGCTCCATGCTTAAGGATGAAGGAACGGAATTATTCAAGAGCAGTCATACGGAAAGTGCTTCCCAGCACCGCTGCCTTTCCTCTGCCTTCCTCCTGCTCTGCCCACCACCAGTGTCCACTTTGCTTTAGCAGCTGAGGAGAGAAAAGTATTAGCACATTCCTCGGTAATCCTGCTCCTGCATCTCGTTCGGTACAAGCAGAAGGCAAAGGCCACGTTCTGTTCTCTGGCAGCTCCGTGCAAGCCTTGTGCAGGGCTGTCACAACCACTGCTGTGGAAAGCTGACTGCTGACATGTCAGATGCGGAATTTATGCGGGAGGAGCAGAGGGGATGTGATAAACTAAACATCCTGCCTATGTTCAGTGTCATCTTCAGCCATAAAGGGAGGGGAAACGCAGGGGAACTGAGGCAGCTGGGTGAAGCTGTCTGTTTCTGTAGCAGGCTTTCATGAGCCTGACACTCCACTGAGCAAGAAAACAGGCAGTTCTGCTTCCACCCTTCTTCCACCAAAATACATGGAACTTCATATTAAAGCTTTCTCAAAAGCCCTTCTCCTCCTCAAGTTGCCTTTATGAGTTCAAGCTGTGCTGGGCTCCTTGGTGGTCCTGTCCAACCCACCGCGAGTTCAGAGAGCGCCATGGAGGTACATCCACAAATCACACACAGGGCTCCTCTCCATGTCACTGCCCCACGGAGGCGCCTGCTCCTGCTGCTCCCTGCTTCCATGCAGCAACGCACCCCTGCAGGGACGCTTCCCTCGCTCCAACACAGCTGCAGAAAACAAACCACAAGAACGCCTCGCACATCCTCACAGGCATTTTGAAGCAGGAGAATGGAAGCACGCCCTGCTTGAACAGCCCTGCAGCCACCACCCCGTCCCAAAGGCTTGTCCTGCAAACACAACGACCAAGCACAGGAGCACCTGGGAGCCAGCTAAGTCAACGCACCTCATTCCTGCCCCGCCAGCTCTGTCCCCGGCTTCTGCTGAGTGCAACACCATCCTGACAGGGGATTTCACTGGGGTCTGGCTCTTCTCGAGTACAGCAGCCAAGCCCCAGTGCCCCCTCCTCACTGTGCCCGAACCCACCCTGCCTAGCACCAGAGGTGCCCAAAGCTTGCCCACACCACGGTGAACAGCTCCAACTCATGTCAGATAGAGGTGGATGCTCTGAGCAGGGCCAGCAAGGCTGCAGTTCTCACATGCTGTGGGAGCAGCAGTCTCTTACCTGGTGAGATTAGCAAAGAGAAACCCATCCTCTCCATACATCCCCACCTGACAAAAGTCCCTGCTCTATGCCGGATCTCCAAACCCTTTCCTTATCCATCTGAAGCACCACTACCTTTACTGTTTGAGGTTCCCACCTCAAACACTAAAAGCATACTTGACATGGATTATTTCAAGCTCTTGCCTCACAAAGAAACCAAAATGACAATAAGTATATGCAGTGGCAGCCCACTGCCTTGCTTCACACGACGCCTCATCTCCCTCCCAACTCGGAGCACGGCAAAGCATGTCCAGCCTGCGCCTCGGAGACCCGAGGCTCCCGTAACATGCCATTCTGGAGATGAACAGCTCTGAGGGCGGCCTGTTTGGCAAGGCAAGCTTTATGCAGGGTTATCGCCTACTGATTAGCACCAAGGAGAAAGAACATCGTTACCCTCATTAGGAGCCTAGGGAGACAACACAAGATAACACGACCTGCTGCAGAACACAGATACAAAAACATTCATTAGGACAAACAGTGAGTTTCCTGGAGAACACTGAAGCTACAAGTCTCAAGGCAGAGTAAAACCAGAAGGTCAACAAGTAGTGGGACAGCTGCCCTGCAAGAGACCCAAAAGGCCGCTTTTCCTTTTAAGAAAAGATTTCCGGTGATGCCTCTTCCCTGACCCACCAGCAAGTCAGCTTTCCTCTACCACAATGGACAAAAAGAAAGGGAAAAGTGCTGCTTCCAAGAAGAAGGTGCTTCCTTCCCCTGTTCGGAAAAGTTGTGATCTCCCTTTTTTATGCACTGAAAGCTTTCTAAGAACAGAAGGTCTCTGGTCTCTACTGTATTCCCAAAGATGTTTGTTCAGAAAGCAAAGCTTTTAAATTCTGAGAACTTCGAAGTAATGAAAAGATAGGGAAGACCTGGAAATCACTTTGGTTTTTTTCATCTAAGAACTAGCATAGCAGGTGAAGACGGTACTTCAGCCAAGTACTCCTGTGTCCCTGTTAAAGAACCACCGCCCACCTTTGCCAATCTTATAATGCTGACAGAGAAAGAAAGGCCAGCTCCCTTCCACTATACTTATTTGGAGAGCTTAATCCAGTTTTCTTCCTCTGCTGGTGGCAATTCAACAAATATCCTGGCTGAAACAGATTCAGAAGTGTGTTGCTGGCCAACAGAGCAGGATGGGTCCTAACACTGGGCCGTACGTACCAAGTCCCCTAGAACAGCGCCCTTACCACCCCCGACAGCCTGCAGTCTCCTGTCCGCACTGTATTACACAACGGAGCAGCTACTGATTTGGGCTGAGCTTTGGGAGCTACTTCTGAAAGGAGAAACAAAAAACCAAAACCAAACACAAACCAGACATGCAAATGTATGGACATAAATAAATTAAAAAGAAACCATGCCTGAAAACAGATGGGAAGGAGGACAAAGAAGGGGCAGAGAGACATTCCGAGACTCGGACGTCCTCGCACTCCGAGCCAGCCCAGCGGGGACAGCGCAGGCTGCGTAGGACAGGCGGGGTTTGCACACATCAGCACTCAAGCCCTATACTGGCCAGGAGGTTTTCCAGAGCTTCAAGTTTCTGGTTGGCTTCCTCGATGGCACTGTAAGTCTGCACGTTGCTGGTGATGTGGAAGCGGATGTCATCAACCAGAGGAATGGAGTCAGTCTCCTGCCGTTCCTCCACAGCCTCCGCATTCTCCTTGACAGCAGCCACAAACTCCTCCAACTCCACCAGCTGGATAGGGTAGACAAGAGAACCGTTAGGAAGACAAGAAGACAAGTAAGGAGGTGTAAAGGGTTGGGATAATGGGCTCAGCCACTGTTGAGGGATCCCAGAGAAGAAAAGGGAATGCTAAGGGCACATGGAGACCCAAATCTTCGTATGTCTCCTACAGACACTACCTGGAGATGCATCCTGCCATTCATCCTAAGGAGGCAGTGATACCCCAACAATAAACAGTCACAACCATGAGCAATCTCTACCTCAAGCAGTGCACTGTGATACCCGCTCACTAGACATCCACAGTTCAGGTACTGGGGCACACGAATATAGACAATATTCCCTCCAGAAAGGCTCCCCAGCAGGAACCAGGAGACGCTGCCAGACACTTTGGGAAGTGTCTTGCAACAGGCAAGACAGCGGGTGCTCATGCCCAGCTCAAGCTAGGAGCACAGATGCCTCCATCCCCACCATGGCTCTCAGCCCCACCACCAGCCGACCGGCAGATCACAGCAAGGCAGCTGCTCTGTTCTGCACCCAGTCTGACGGAATCAGGTCACCCATCAATGATTTTGCATCAAGTTCCCCAGGAACATGTGGTGTGCTGAAGGGTGAGAGGCAGCTTCCATCTGTCTATGCTCCCAAACTGTGCCTGGGCACGGCAGGTTGCTGAGCCCTGCTCTCTGCTATGTGCACTGCCAAAATCTCTCCCCGGTGCATCGGGGCAGTGCCACAAGGTGGAGGTGGCTGATGTCTGAAGAGCTGGGGTGGCTCCGTGTGTGCCAACACCCTCAGGAAGGCACACTGCCAACGCTGGGCCCAAGAGCTCCCATGCAGGCTAGAGAAGGGGATGCAAGGGTAACACAACACAAAGCCTTACTTGCCCTATTACTACTCGGGATATTTGTCAGCTTTCAAACCAAATCCCTGTTTCAGAAGGCAGAATCTGGATACATGCCAATGCATCCATCATCCCCAAAGCTATACACTGAACAACAGCCCCAAAATAATTTCCTTTGCTGTTTTCACATGCCAGAAAGAATTTCACACCTTTCAAGCTGCAGGTGAAAATGTTACATTTCCATGTGACCTGCACAAGCCATTTATCAAGATCTGTCTCAGGATAAAAACACCCCATAGATTCTAGTTTATCCTTCCATATCGCAAACTTTCTCCACAAGCCCTGAAACTTCAAGCTACAATCATTCAGGATAACACTTAAATGGAGCCCCATAGAGAAAACGCCAGTCTTAGATTCATTACTTCTGGCTGTTCAACAGCCAAATTTCCCCTGTGAAAACCTCTACTGTTAGATTTGTCATCCTGGAGAAGGGTAAAGACCACATTAATTTCTGCTTTCTATAGCATTAGGTCAGAAGAACTCTCCCCAGGAAGCACCAAAAAGCATTTCTTGCAGAGCTCCCCTGCTCACCCCACTGGGTTCTCCAGGCTGCAGCTGGTGTATTCCAGGCAACCCCACCGTTGCTCTGGGCACGCTGGCTGAAAGCCCAGTGACAGTCACCTGCCCACAGCACTCACAGAACTTTTGGGGCAGGTTTTTCACCCCACAGTCCACAGGGATGTGCTGAACAGCCACCAGCACCTGGCTTACTGCAACCGCATCAGGTACTACCACCCTCCTCATCCTCTCTCCTAACGCACCATGTGCTTTGCTACTTAAACGCTGCTCATTCTGAGGAAACATATTAAACCAGAGAAGCCACCATTTACGACAGACCAAAGTACACCCATTCATCTGTATCTATGGCTCACTGTGCAGTTAGATTTGCGGGCACGTGTGGTAAGCGCAGTGGGGAGAGTTTCTGCTACCTTCTCGATGATCTCTGCCATGTACTCCGTGCATTGGTCCTCCAGCCGGGTCAGCTGGAACAGCTTTGCGATCCGCCAGATGCTGACAACGTTGTCCTCATCAAGGATCTGAGCCAAGGTCCTGCCACAAAGGCGCTTGAGCCCAGGCAGCAGGTACATGTCTGCCACGCACAGCACGTCATAGGCATTGTCTGGGGACAGCTGGCAAGGGAAGGAGGAGAATTACCGTCCACTCCCACCCACTGCACTCATCTCTGGCAAACTGCCGCCTTCTCTTGGGTTTTAGCAGAGATTCCCTCAAGTTTGGAATCCAGCTGGCCCATTACTGGACAAGTGTTAACAGTACTACAGAGAGAGAGGAGCTCAGTCTTTCTGGGCTAGCTCTTCCACCCAGGTACCACAGAGGATTTTAAAATGCTGCAGAGGCAGTTTGCTCAGCACAAAGCAAGAAGTTTGCCATGCTGCAGCTAACCGCCGAGCTAACCCCCAGGCAATGCTGGACACTGACGTGCAGCAGAAAGCTGGCTGCTAAGAACGATCAGTGCAGCAGTGGAAGGAGGCAGCTTTTACCTGAAGTACTGAAAGCCCTTCAAAGAGATAAATGGAACAAGCTGGCAGAACAGAGCACCTTGTCCCCACCAGGACTATTCTTCCCATTTTGTACTGTTAGACTTGCATTTTGTGAAAAATGTGCAAAATTCTCTGAAGTTCCTTTCTCAAACTGTCTCTGCTAACTCAGCCAGGACAACCTCCCCGGCACAGAACACACACAGCATCCATGTACAGAAAGCTGCACCTCAAATAAACTGTAGGTGAAGCTCAACTAGGAAAGGCACAGGCTCTGTACATCAAATACTACTGGAGCTTTACCGGGCGTTCCAACTGAACTGAATTCATGTACCAGACGCTCAGGCTTACACTGTTGTGAATGGCCTTTAACATTTTCAGGCTCTTGAGCGAGAGAACCACCCTCCCATCTCCTTCTCGGGTACTTTTGTTCCTTGCAAGTGATCTGAGGACAAGAAATGCTGTAGATAATGTTGGAGACACCACCTCCAGCTTCACTCAGTCTCTTCCCCCCTGGCTGAGCAAAACCTATTTTAGTCAGCCATCTGCGTCACTAACCTGGAACTAGAGCCTTTCTCTGCACAGTTCTGTTCCTGCTAATGTGAAGTGCAAAGAGCACAGTAACCCACGTCCATTTTAACAGCGAATCTGCAGGATGCGGCATTCCCTGGGGCTGTGGAGGAGGAGACATCACTTGCATCTAGAGACCAAGCTACACGGGTCTAGACTGAGGAACGGTAACTGGTGCAGTGTGATCCACTGCCCTGACAACCGGTCAGCAGCAAACACACTGCTGTCCACATCTACACATGCGGTTGTTCACTCTGACAACTGCAAAAGGCTGATGATTTCTCACCCTCCAGCTGTCCACACCGCTGCTCCGAGAGACTACTCACAGCCAGCGTCTCCTCTGTGTAACACCCCGCAGCAGCTGTGCGGAAGGACACGAGATGTGTTAGAGGCATGCCATGAATTCTACAGTGCCGCAGGGGTGTGACAAAGCCCTTGGGGTTATTAATCAAGCACTGCTTTGTCCTTTCATAAGCTCCAATCAGTTTCAGGAGTTGGAGACGTCCGAGTCAGTAGTACTGATGGCAGCAGCTCCCAACTGCGCGATCAAGGACAAACCTAGCAAACGTTCCTCCAGAAGTTCCCCTTGAATCCACATAAAAACTCTGATCAGCAACTTCTCTTTCTGTCTGGAAGCCTCTCTGTTCTCTTCCCTGCAACTACAAGCATTGTCACTACTACATGGCAAAGACACATAAATCCTTTGGAAAAGAAAAGTAGAACTGGGACTGCTGACACTCGGCTGGAGAAACCCGGGGCAGGGAGAACACTCAACAGAGCAGCATGGAACTTGAGCTACATTCCTGTTTTCCTGACCATTTTTCCTGGTAGTTTTTCATGACAGATGAACTCTCTGAAGAAGGTCTATCTTGGCTGCTCAGTCGGAAATACAAGCTAGTTTTGTGATGGTACCATCCTGCATAGAGAACATGAGCAAAACCCTTTCAACACCTACACATTGTAGTTGATCTGTCCTCCTGCTCCAAGTCCAGACAGGACAGCTGAGACACCCCATGGAAAGGACTGCTGCTTGGGAAACATCCTTCCTGGGAGTCATCCTGGGGAGGGGCAGGCAGACTGGAAATGGGCAAGGGAACAGGGTCACACTGCAGTGCAGTCACAAGGTCAGGAGGGTCTTCCCAAGCCCAGTATGCTGCTTTCCCTCTCTCCTGCCCTTTCAGCACATGGCTGTGGGAAGAGCATCTGCTCCCTGGCATACCAATGGCAATCTCGCCCTGCCTGCCCGCTACATACTTCTCTCCAGCACACATTCCCTGCTGCTCCCTGGAGGTGAGCAGAGCAGCAGAAACAAGGTCACAGCTGCGTGCCCTCTCTGTATGTGGCACCTAACCCCGCACACAAACACTGCCTGGGAGAAGCGACACTGGCAGGTGCAGCAGCGTCCCTGATCCCTGCCCTAATGCCAGAACGAGCTCTGGCATCTTGCAGCTAGACCTGCAGAAAGCATTTGCCACAAAACCAAAGCAGGAAGCTGCTTTAATGCTGAGATTTGCTGCGCCTTCCATTAGGCTGCAAACAGGGTGGGTTAGGGCCGTTTTGTTGCTGCTCGCGATACTGAGCACAACAAGGCGTTGGTCTCCCAGCAGAACCTTTGCCCACCCAGCAATAAGTAACACTGGAAATAATGACTTGCTACAAATGGAAAAGGGGGCTATGATGCCAAGAGTAAATAAGCAGAATCTCTCAACCTTTCCACATCTCCAAATGTGTTCAATCTGCCATCTACTGGCAGCTGCTCTCCTTACTCCTCGACAGACCCCAAGAGGGAAATCTACAAAGCCCTGCATTTATCATACAATATGCAACCTCATTTCCAAATTTTTATTATGGGATGAAAGACTTGGGATTTGCTTCCCAAATTTTGTGCACATAAACTAGATCCCTGCCTTCTTACAGCAAGTCCCAGTAGGTAGGTCCCTGAGACAGAAATGAGGTAGCAGAGTAGGGCAGTGGGATTTAAGAAACCACAATTCCAGATGCTGTAGCAAAACACTGCTGTGAACACCTCTGGAACTAATCAGCACAGCAGGAAAGGCTCCGTGGCTGGCCTCACCTCTGTATCATCACTGTAGATGTAGTAGAGGACCCGGATGAAGATGTCTTCTGAGATGTTGTGGAGAGTCACCACAGGGATGCTGGGCTGTGTCTGCAGCTCCTCACTCTCACTGAAATGATCTTCAAGAAGGGCTTTGAAATAATCACTGCGACCACAGAAAAATGCCTGGAGAGGGAATAAAGACCAAAGCACTAGGATCTATCTCACTGCACCAAAGCAAAGAGCACTAGCAGCCAGCTGTCAGAGCAGCTCAAAGATATTTCGGAAGTTCAGACTCTCACTCTGTTCTCCCTATATTTTGAAGCTGCACCTCTGATGTTATTCCATACCTTATTTCCATCCGTGCCTACCCTGAGAACAAAAATAAAACAATCTGTAAGCTTAAGAGATGGAAAGCAGCATGGCATTAGTGCAGGAGAATAACTTGAGGTTGGATCTTAAAATCCATTCTCATTGCTGTTTGCTTGCAGATGAAACGTTCCCTTCCGCAGACACTGAACTCACAAGCCAGCAGTAGGAGACTTCGCAGCTGTGAACGCTGTAGCTGAATCCTTAAATTTATCTCCTCACCTCAGCAAGAAAGGCTGGGTTTGCTGTTTTGTTAAATGCTTTAAATATAGTTTCCAGCTGCAATAACACTTGATTTTCCAGCTGATGAGGCAATGCTGCTTCTGCAGAGCATATCCAGCACTGGATGAGTGGGGGAGACAGGAAGGCCAGATTCATGGCAAAAAGGGAGGAGGAATGAAGTACAGCCCAAGCACATACCTTATGGCACAAAAAGTTGTAGTCTGCCACCCGGAAACACACGTCGGCACAACTGTTAAAGTTGTCGGTGCTGTCAAACGGCAGCTCCCCAAAACCAACCTAGGAAGAGAAACCAGAGAGCCATTCCTTGAACATTTGTGCTTTCGGTACGCTCAGGGTCCCAAGATTGGTCTTCCCAGAACCAATCATCCATCCATTCCCTCAGCACAATGCAAAGCACCAGAGATGCTCCGAACACAGATTTCAATGTGAGCAACTGGAGCCCTTGCACTCCCGATAGAGATATTCCTGGTACAAGTTACAGCTGCCTCCCTTATCCACGAACACTCCCTGACACACCTCTGGGAAGCATTTCTGTGCCACCTAACAAAGCAGATAACCCTAAGCACCATTTCCAACACGCCTGCCCCCATCCTAACTGAAAGCATCCAACTTCCAGCTGTACTGAGGAGCCAGCTGCCTCCTCTCCCCCGGGACTGAGCAAAGCTGCAGTACGCTGGGTGGGTGCTCCCGGCCGAGCACAGCTCACACGCCGCAGGGTCTCCCTCACAAAACAGGTTCTAGGACATGGCAAGGCACCAAGGTGGCAAAAGCTTACACCACCACCGAATATGGCAATCTGTACCCATTTGCCAGGCGGTCTGTCTCTGCAGCCACATCTGGCAGCTTCTGGTTCCCAGTCGCAGGAGAGCGAGCCCAGTGATGTTCAAACTGTGTGCGTGGCTGTCACAATAACACTGCTGCCTCCCACAGCAGCTCTCCCTGTGAGCCCTCCCCCACTGGGGAAGTCCTCTCCCAGAACAGACGCAGCAATTCAAGGAACGCTCCCCACCGGATCTACTACCTGCTCTAACACACTGGGCACCTCCAGCGTCAAAGATGAGATCAGATTGTCCCAGTTGTACATTCCCCAGGCCACTATTTTACTGTTACCTGTGTCTCATCTTTCAAGGCACCGAGCCAACCGCAGCCTGGGATCTGCAGCCACGCTCTCTGTGGCATCCCACTACAAGCACTAGTAGCCACGATCCAACTGCCTACCTTGCCTTGCTGGTATCCTCACCCTGTGCCCAGGCTCCCGTGTCCTCTCCTACAAATTCTGACATGACTTTCAAGGCTACAACTTTGCAGGCACACGACAGGTAAAACAAACCTAGAAACAGGCTTTGATAAGATGCCACTCTTTGTAGCACAAGAACTACGATCGAGACAAACTCTATATGCATCCTTTTTTTGCTCTCCTTTCACTGTCTGAAGGCGGATCTTTAAAAGCAATCCATCCCTCTGGAATGGACATGGGAGTTTGATTTGTGTCAGTCTCCTGAATTATAAACTCCCTGGGCTCAGTTTCCTGCTTCCAGCCTTGCCTGGTCCCCACTCCAATACTCAGGTTTACAAGGTCATTTCCAATTCCTACTACAAAAGCAGGTTCATGTCTTTGTCCCTCCTATTCAGCATGAAGTGGCTTGGCAGAATTTTCCCTTTTATTCTCCTTTTCAGCCTCTACTACTTCTAGTCTCCTCCCTGGTCACGCTTGAGGAATTTTGTCTCCCTTTCAGGGTCTCCTTGCAGGAAACTGGCTCCCACTCTACCATTCAGGCAACCTCCTTAGCATACCCCCATCCAGGCAAAGCACAGCTGCCCAAGTGACTTGTGTCGCCTAGGAAGCACAGAACAGTCTAGCCGATGAGGGGCAAACACACCCACAATACAGAAGTATTCTCAACACCTCTATAGCGTAAGACTGCTTGAACAGTCACAGGATCTCCCAGCCATCACATGTGGAGGACCAAGTCTCTGCTGCTGTGATTTGCTATTATCGCTTAAATAGAAACGTTGCTGGGGGCAAAAACATAAAAAGGAAATCAGTGGCAGCAATTTGTACCTCGGCCAGATTATCTCAGCAAGAAAATCACAAATAAATTACAACACAAAATACAGGGGTTAGTGATCCAAGAGGAGATTGCCAGCCCAAAAGCAGATGCAATTGGATGGGATAAAGAAAGAAAATTGGAAGCATGTTGGAAATAGCACGGTTAATCTGCCTCTGCCAAATGGGCAAAGCTAAGCACAGGAGTAACTGCCATGGACAACCCCACCACACTGGTGCTGAGACAGGCAAGATGGAACCCATCTACTTGTTTCCAACTGTTCTCTGTATGCATCACAACATTTAGCTTTACCCCAGAAGTGACAAATGGTCACAATTCTTTTGCAGCCATGCCAAACATCAGTACAGATGGAGAGAACAGTATTTATTTAATGGCAAACTCTGATCCTGTAAAGTCTGCTTTCATCTTGGTTTGGAAAATAAGATTTCAAGTTAAAAGGTAACGAAAAACCAGCTAAAAGGAACCAACGTGCCTACAGTCTCACACACTGGAAGCCCTGGAGTCTGCAACTCGGGGATCACCTGGCAGACACGAGATGAAGAGTTAGGCAGTCAGGCAGTGGAAAGCCACATGGTTTCTGACAGTTGCCTGGCTTTTGATGGTATTTTACTTAAATCTGTCACTGCTGAAGTTACTGCAACAAACCAAAGCAGCAGCTGTTGTGGTCAGAAAAATTCTGGCCATTACTAGTTTAAAACAGAAGAGAGACAACAACCACACTTCTTAACACAAACACTGAAAAAGAAAAGGCTTTCAGGTATAAACAGGAATGAGAAACAAAATACCAAGATTATAAACATGTTTAAGAGTTCAAAGAATAGACAGTTCTCTCTCTAAAAACTAATAATGAGCTGTGACTGGATATCAAATGTTAATTATTGTTTTAGTCAATATGCCATATTACTGAACTATGAAATTGGGGTGCAGAGTTTTCTGCATCATTCAAATATCAAAGACATTACAATCACATTATCTGTTTATAGTGAAGCAAAGTTGTATACAGCCTAATTTCATGCAATATGGCACTACATGACGTGCAGCAGCTCAGAATGTCTCTTGCCAAATTCCAAAATGGTGGCTTTTACCCAGAAGCTGAATACTTATTTTGTTGCAGATAGGCTGGAAAAAGTGCATGTTTCTCTCAAGAATGCAGATGTAAACACACATGACTATGCAGCTGTCCCTGACATCTTCAGTTACACAGTTTGTATACTATTCCTTGTATGGCATCACACCTGCAAGAATGAGGATGGGCGACTCCCCTGTCCTAGAGCAAAGATGCCCAATTCAGACCGTACCTACTTGCAAACATCAGGTTGAGATATAAATGGCAATAGGATGGAGACCTTTGTTCATACATTCTTTGAAAGTTAACAAAAAAAACAGATCTAGAGAGAGAAAGCCAACAATCTCGTAGCATTTATCAGGCTTAAACAAAGCCCCCACGCTTGTGCATGGGATACAAATTCCGTGGTGAACAGGCGTGTGCCCATGCCCTCCTCACTTTTACAGCCCTAACAAGTCTCACGGTGCTGTAACTGCCTTTGTTCTGGTCTATGGACGTAGCAAGAAAACCACAGCCCACAGAGGCATTCACAGTGCCCTCAGATCATTGCATTATTCCAAGTTTCATATTTTCCTTTTAGCTCCTATTCTGCACGGAAGAATTAAGAGTGCAGTGTTGCTAACCCTTGAGAAGAAGAGCTTAACCCAACACGAGCAAGCCATCAAGGTCCGGGAACAAGCAATCAACCAGAAAGCATTCTTTTCATTTGTGAAGCATGACTTAAAATTTACGTAAATAGCACTGTTTTGAGGCCCATGATCCTTTTTTTAATTCTCAGGGAGGTAAAGCTGAGACTTACTTATAGTATCACCTCCCTTTAAAGCCTGCAAACACACAGAAAAGCATATTGAAAGCCACAAATAAATACACAGTTATTTGGGGGAAGCAGGTTACGTGGGAAGGATTTCTGCATTGGTAGATGGAAACCTGATGGAGGAAAAACTCCCTCTATAAAGTGCTCAACACCCATAGAAATATGTCAAGAGCCAGCACAAAACACGCTGGCTTATTACAGGCAAGAAGCCTTACCCAGCAGGTCAGTCGCGCACACACACACACACTTGCCAGGCAGGTCTGTTCAGCAGAGGACAAAAAGGAAAAAAGGCAATAAACTCTGCTACATCACTCAGTCATGCAAGCCCTGGGCCCAGCAGCCACCTAAAATGAGTTCATGTTATTAAATTCAGTGCTTGATATGAGAGAGGAAAAAAGAAAGCACAGGCATAAGAGCAAAGTCAATCTGCTGATATTACAGAAAACAACAGATGCAGGGAGAATGGAGAACTCTAATATTTATCCTGTTCTCCTGCAACTGGGAGCAAAGGTCCACATATCTGAGCCTAACTAATAATACGGATGGTATTTTTACATTGTCGTCATCAACCTATGACCTGTGGGCTACTTCTAAGGGTCAACAAAAGGTAGTTATGAAAAGCAAATCTATTGCCAGTCAGGTTA